ACAACAGTATAAACATTAGCTGAATTTCATACGAAAATAGTTACACTATATGGGACAGTCCCAATATTCTGTCAGCTGACACAGTCACATCAAGGGGTTCTCAACAGGAACAGTCTTACACGAGTCTTCTTCAGCAGAGATTTGTTGCAAATCTATTATTCTAAGGGGACACAACTCGAGTATTGTGATTAAAATGTTTATTCTTTATCTCAACAATATGCAACGTATCTATTCACACTTTCTTGGTTTGAGCCGAGACCTGAAAGTGTAAATGTCTGCCCCTGCTTCTTCTACAACTGCTCATACCTCCATTACAGCTACAGTTGTGTCTTTTTAAATGAATAACGCTGTGGCACTAACAAATACTGCTAATGCTGCTACTGTGACGCTATAGCCACGGTAATCTAAAAAGAATCGCTGAGCTATAATGTTGTTTATGATGGATACTTTTCCAATCAGGACGAAAGCCTCGGACAGGGCTCTTTCACTCGAATCTTTAAAGGCAAAAAAATCGACATTCATGACGGGGAGAAACGTGTGACCGAAGTTCTGCTGAAAGAGCTCGATGCGACTCACAAGAACTGCTGGGAGGTGACTTTATACATACCTAAGTTTTTTTTTTTTAATGTATTTGTTTCTTATGATTAACACATGCTTTTTGACTATTTCAGTCATTCTTTGAAGCTGCCAGCCTGATGAGTCAGATTGCACACAGACACCTGCTCCTTGTATACGGTGTTAGTGTTCACGGAGCAAAGAGTGAGTTAAAACTAAGTTCCATGATCGCATTGACTGTTTTTGTTGTTTTGTGTTTTGTTGTTTGCTAGTAAGCCCAGTAAAGCTGAATGTTGTGTTGCTGAATGTTGTACAATCAGTGTTTCGACTGACACAAGTAGTTGTAATTTCAAAGCTGACAGTTATTTGGTTAACTTTGTCTCATATCATGTGGCCCTAGCTCAGGCGCTGCTCTGCGAGTGAGCGCTCTGTGTTTTGGTTTGAAGTACAGCTGTTGAAACAAACCTTGTTGTGCCTTTCAGACATCATGGTGCAGGAGTATGTCAAGTACGGGGCCCTTGACCTTTACTTGAAAAGGGGGAGATCTGTATCAGTGAGCTGGAAACTTGACGTAGCCAAACAGCTCGCATCAGCCCTCAACTTCCTGGTAAGGAAGATTTACCGATGTGGAAATGAGAAGAAGGCAGCCTAGAGCAGGCCTGACTGTAGATTGCGTGATGTGCAAATAAATGTTATTTAAAATGTCATGTTTTACCAGGTATTTTAAAATACATAACTGCTGTGAACAGTAGAATTAATGCAAAGGATGAAGTGTTTCCTAATAACACTAAACAAGCAAACAGGTATTTTTCTGTCCTGCTTACTTTGAAATGTAGTTGCTAAAATCACATGTAACCCTTGTACAGGAAGAGAAGAACATTGTTCATGGAAATATCTGTGCCAAAAATCTGCTGCTGGCCAGAGAAGGTGACCCCTCTCAGGGGAGCTCTCCTTTCATTAAGCTGAGTGATCCGGGCATCAGTATGGCCATGGTGGGCAAAGATGGTAAAGCCTTTTTTTTTTTTATTTAAATTGACTGATTATTTACTGTAATGTATGTATCAGCATTTCTTTATGCAATGGTAACCAATTTTAGCTTTATTCATTTTATTTTATACCCATTAACATGCCTTACAAAATAAAGGATACTTTTAGCTGCTTCCTTATAGCCAAACAAACAAATAGATGAAGAAACTTAATTAATAGAGTTGTCGTTTCTCCAGTCATTCTGGACAGGATCCCCTGGGTGGCCCCCGAGGTGTTGGGCGCTCCAGAAAAACTGACCCTCGAGTGTGATAAATGGAGCTTTGGCGCCACAGTGTGGGAAATCTTTAACAATGGAAACTCCCTGCTACGAGGCTGGAACCTAGATCAGGTAGATTATCGTATTCCCTGATCTGCAGTTTGTGGTTTTGGAAGGCTTTAAACACTCTAAACTTTTTAGCTGTCTGGGTCAGTGTTACATGATCCCTCAAAGCTCATTGCTGTTATGCAACAATTGCAGAAAATGCCTAAACTAGAGGACTCTGTGTGTGAGTTGTAGCTCTGGTTTTGGTTCATAAAGTTCAGCATGCAGAAAAACTGATGCAGTTCAGAATGTTATATTAACTTTTCAAGTTGATGTAAATAAAATGCAACACTGTGAAAAGACTACTGAGAATACTGTGTAGATTAAATGAAAATTGCACTTCCTTTTCTGTGAATTTTCAGTCGTTAGAAAAATTGTTGTACAAACATTAAATGGTGCTATGTGGTGCTAAATGTGTTGTGTTTGTTTTTGTTTTTTTTTGCAGAAGAAGCAGTTTTATGAGAGTTTCCAGCAGCTGCCTCCCTCTCAGTGGACAGAGCTAGCAGATCTGATCAGTCAGTGTATGGACTACCAGGCAGACTTCAGACCTTCATGTCGCAGTATTATCCGTCAACTCAACAGTCTCATCACTTCAGGTAAAGATGAGTACCATACTGTTCTGGTAATCAGCTGACACATACATGTTAAAACTGTCCTTTAAAACATAAATTAATTAGATAAATAAAATTAATTCAGTTAATACCACAATACTTTGACTAACTTTTTGTATCAGATATAATCCTTAGAAAAGAAGACATAGATAACAAATGATGGTGTTTTATGAAATGTAAATAAAACAGAATCCATGATTTGCAAATCTTATAAACCCGTATGTTATTCAGAATAGAAAATAGAAAACATAACTGATGTTTAAAGTGAGACATTGTATTACTTCATGAAAGATATGAGCTGATTTAGAGTTTGATGGCAGCCAAAAATCTCAAGCAATTTGGAATGCAAGTGACAAAAGTCAGCGCTAATAAAGAACAGCATCCTAAAGAGGTAACGTTTCTCTGAAGTGAAGACGGGTGGAGGTTCACCAGTTCTGCAAAAAAATACTTCTACAAATTATGGGTCAATTTCAGAATAATGTTCCTCAATATAGAATTGCAAAGACTTTGAATATGTCATCACATGATGCCATCAAAAGTTTCAGAGAATCTGGGGAAATCTCTGCGTGCAAGTGACAAGGCCTAAAATGAATATTGGATGCCAATGATCACGCGGCACTGCATACGAACAGGCATGATTCTTTCATTGAAATAACTGCACGGGCTCAGGGACATCTCCAGAAATCGCTGTCTGTAAAACACAATTAACTCTGTCATGCAACTCTATAAAAAACAAAGTTATACGTGAACATGACCTCGGATCATCATCTTCCCTGGATCAGAGATCATTTAAAACAGACTTTGAAATTCTTTTCGCAAAAGTGACCCGAAATAGGCACTCTGGTGGAGTTACTTTGTGTGTGTGTGTTTATAAGTAGTTTTAAACCTTGTGATCCACAAAACAGCATAAGAGTAAAAGAGTAAAAGCGTAAAAGAAGAACTGACTGCGTTACAGCACCCGCTGCTTGTTGAGAGTAAAAGCGATACGCGCTTTCACGTCTTTTTTTAGCAACTTTTTTTTAGAAAAAAAGTCGCTAAGGGGTCTGAAAACTCGCTAAATATAGCGACAAAGTCGCTAAGTTGGCAACACTGCTTGGCACTTGTGCAGGTGAAGCCAAAGGGAAGATATGCTTCACCATATTTTCTAGTCTTTGGCTTAGAATGAAGTTGGTTTGGAAACATATTCAGCGATGCTTCATCTCCTGCCTTGTGTGGGCGCCCCGTCAAAAACCTGTCCATTATGCTAGCAGTGTCCAAGTGTTTTTTGTTTTGTTTTTTTCCTTTTCATAAACAGACTACTGTTGCTACCAATAGCTGTTTTCCAAATGGATGATGTTTTAGGTATTACGCTGAGATTCACTGAAGTGAAAATACTGCTGACTGCTAACGTTGCCTTGTTTTTTGCCAGACTATGTGATACTTCATGCTACCGAACCTGTCACACAGAGCCCCGTGTGCAGATCTTACAGCCACCCTCAGCACGACCAGACATTGTTTGAGGAGAGATACTTGCGCTACATCTCCCCTCTGGGAAAAGTAAGTGTGAGGTGACATATAATGGACAGAAGCTTTAAACTAAATAAATATGTCAAGCTGATGTTATGCTACACAAGCAGGACCTACTACTTGTGCTCATTCTTTATCCGCCTCTTTCATGCATCTACTTTAACTTCAGTTTTTACCTGTGACTTAACACATTTGCAGGGGAACTTTGGCAGCGTGGAGCTTTGCCGTTATGACCCGCTGGGTGATAACACTGGTGAGCTGGTGGCTGTGAAGAAGCTGCAGTCCAACAAGCAGTCAAACCTGGAGGACTTCCAAAAGGAGGTCAACACCCTCCATGTCTTACACTGCGACTACATCGTCAAATACAAGGGAGTCTGCTACAGCATGGGTAAAAACAAAACAACTAAACAATAATAAAATGATCTGCCCCCTGCTTAGACTGTAAAACTCTTAGCTCTCCCTTTCCTGATTTATAAATGAACTCATTAAGGATTGCTGTGCCACTTCAAAAACATGTTTAAGGTGACTTGTATGACTTTTTTGTAAAAGGTGTAAATGTAAGTGAACCAAGCAAAAGAGCTCGTTGCACTTACTCATTTCCTCTTAAAGCATGAAACTCACACATGTCTCTGTGTTTCAGTGACAAAGATTTGAAAGGACATTATCTGATGAACAACGTTATGGCTTGTCTGTTCACAGGTCGCCTCAGCATGAGTCTAGTGATGGAGTACCTGCCCTATGGCAGCCTTATTGGCTACTTAGAGAAGAACAAACACAACATCAACACCAGGCGGATGTTACTATTTGCTTCTCAGATTTGTAAGGTGCGTGAGCTTGCAAAATGTTAAAAATATGACCTCTGCTATATGGACAGGAATTAATTGTTTGCCCACACAATCATAAATGAGTATCGACTGCACATTCTATGACTTGAAAGTCTTTTGCTTTAACGTGTGCTTGACCTGCTGCTTTTGATAAAGATGATAAACATGTCTTCCCAAGCAAGTGTAAACCAGCGGGATTTAAAGCTGCCTGTAACGCAGCAGGATTACAGATCTGATTGGGCAGGATCTGAAAATTGACGCGACATATGTGAAGCCATTCCTGAACCAGTGCTCACGTTTTCCCTAAGGACCCCAAAGCGCTTTACACATCCAGTCATCCACCCATTCACCCATTCACACACTGGTGATGGCAAGCTACATTGTAGCCACAGCCA